AGTGGTTACACGTTTCTTGGTTATATGGGCGGTTGACATCAAAGCATTGAAGATCATTTTTCGATTTTAATGTCTACCAAAATGAGATGGATGACAATTCCATTTATCAATTGACATGTGTCAAAATTTATAGCATCTTAACACTATGCCATTGATGATGCTCTAAGGAGGGAGTATGTAATACTACCTCCGTAACATTGGGATGTTCCCATTTGAAAAGTAGGTAGATTAAGAATAGTGAAAGGAGATATGTATTATTAGGGGTATGATGGGAAAATAGTGAAATAATGTGATGGAATGAAGGATAAATCCAAAAAAAGTAGGTGTAATAGTGTATTATTTTTAAAATTATTGAGGGTATGATGGGGAGATTAAGAAATGGGAAGATATTAGTGTTACGTCTAAAAAAGGAAAGTGAGAAGATATTTATGTCACGGAGGTAGTAATTCTTATAATGATTTGATCAAATTTTATCATTATTGATGACTAGGAAAGACTGAGAGAGTATGTGTAGTTGTCTCTTGATCCTCGATCATAGCATGCTTAGGGGACCTACTCGGTTTGGTCTGGTACCGGGCCGATACCAAACAGTACAGGTCCATTAATTATTATTATTTAAAAATCAATTATTAAATATAGAATATCATTTTGTCAAATAGTGAAATTGCAAATATATTTTAGCGTTTCTAGTTTAAAATGATTAGGAAATTGAATTGAGATTTTGGGATTGTACTACGGTAAAAATATAAAATTCACAATATGTTTAAAAATGAGGCCTATTATAGATCACTCATCTCGACGCCTTGAAACCGTCAAGACCAACTGACCAGCCTTGCATATCTCATTCAACTTTGCCATATTTCTGTTTTTTATTTGTCTAAAAAATTTCATTCGTTCTCCTTTTAAAATATTGAATTTGTAATTCTATTTATTTATCTGTACTCTACACAAACTTCAACCTCATATTTTTTCTCCGATTTTACCCCTAATAATTGTAAGCTCGAGCAGAGGTAATATTAACTACAAGTTGACCCAACAAGTAGCTGGCTAAGCTCTCAATAATGTATATCTCTCGATCAGTTAAGCCCCACCCCGTGCTGCCACCTAACGATCGAACATAACATTAGCCTTCAATTCTAGCCATTCCTCTTCCAAGTACGTACCCTAATGTGTATATATATTCAATTCACGTGTCTCATCAAATCACTACAAATTTAACCCATATACATGTGTACGTAGACGCTTCTCATCAAATCACATCTCCATCTCTCATCTAAATTTATCCATTATGATTTGAGTGCCCAAACAAGAAAGAGGATGGTGTTATTGAAAACTTGAAATAGGTGAAAAATAATACGGACGTATATATAATGTGAAAGAGAAATCTGTGAAATATGATGACAAATACCATTGTAGTATTTGTATCACTATCACGCTCCAAAGTAACCTCCATAGGAAGCTTAAGAGGCTGTTTGGTAGACCAAAAATGGGCTGATCAGCCTTAAAGTGGAAAAAAAATGCCAAACACCTGTTCGTTGGGCTGTTGTGGCTGATTTTCCTTATCAGATGAAAAAACAAGCTCCCCCTTACTTTTTGGGCTGAAAACTATTATTTTACTGTTAGATATTGCAAAGACCCCTATGCCCCTGTATTATATCTGGAAACTGGCTCTAATCATTCGCTTGTTTTCAATGGTTGGGCAACTATAGAATAGGCAGGATGCGGACTGGTTTTCTGAGTTTATTGTCGACGACAAAACAAGAAAACATCCCTATTTTAAAGTACATAAACAGAAAGAAAAACAAATTCAAATTATAAAATCCTTGTTAAAGAACACAACTTCTGGATTTATAGCTAGTAAAAACAATGCGGAGTATATCAAAATGTTCATAGTAAGGATAAGATTAGTCCTGGATGTTTAAGGGCATCTGGGCATGGAATCAACGAATGTTGGAGGTTGGAGATAGAATGGTCATCTGGTCCTTCGGCACTTCAATCGACAAATGGGAATCGCTGATGGCAGAGTAATTTATATTCTTAGATCTAACAAAACAAACTAATACCCTTTTTGGTAATTTTACATTTAAACAGCCATATCAGCCAATATATCACCAAACAATTTCACTTCAGCAGATTCAGCCATTTCAGCAAATTCAGCCATTTCAGCCGTTAAAGCCGTTACCAAACAGGGCCTAAGTTGAGAAGCAGTTCCGTTCACCTGATCTGAATGTTTCTGATCTGAATTTTTTAAGTTCTGATCTGATCTGATCTGAATTTTTCTGATCTGATCTGATCTGATCTGAATCTTTCTAATCTGATCTGATATGAATCTTTCTGATCTGATCTGAATCTTTCTGATCTGATCTGAATGTTGCTGAACTGATCTGAATGTTGCTGATCTGATCTGATCTGAATGTTTCTGATCTGATCTGAATCTTTCTGATCTGATTTGAATATTTCTATAATTGTAATTGTAATTACAATTATAATTATTAGATTTATAATTGTAATTAAAAATATAACTTAAATAAAATTACAATTATAATCATAATTATAAAAAAAAAAAATTAAAATTAAATTTAAAATTATAATAATTATACCAATTACACTAATTATAAATACAGATACAATTATAAATGTAATTATATTTTAAATTATGATTAATTTTATAATTATTATTATTGTAATTATAATTATAATATTTATTTCTATAGTCATAATTATGTCTATAATTACTAATTTAAATATATAATTACTCCGAAGTAATAATAATTACAACAATAACAACAAGAACAACAATCATATTAATAATAATGATGATTATAATTATAATTACATTGTAAATCATAATTATAATTATATTATATTATATTATATTATATTATATTATATTATATTATATTATATTATATTATATTATATTATATTATATTATATTATATTATATTATATTATATTATATTATATTATATTATATTATATTATATTATATTATATTATATTATATTATATTATATTATATTATATTATATTATATTATATTATATTATATTATATTATATTATATTATATTATATTATATTATATTATATTATATTATATTATATTATATTATATTATATTATATTATTATATTATTATAATATAATAATAATTTTATATTATTAACATTATTATTATATTATTATTAATATTATTATTATATTAATATATTAATATTATTAACAATAACTATAATATAATAATCATAATTAATATAATAATAAAAGTGATAAATCATGTTTGAATTTTTTGACCTGATCTGATCTGAATGTTTCTGATCTGATCTGAATGTTTCTGATCTGGTCTGATCTGGTCTGAATCTTTCTGATCTGATCTGAATGTTGTTGATCTGATCTGAATCTTTCTGATCTGATCTGAATGTTTCTGATCTGATCTGATCTGATCTGAATCTTTCTGATCTGATCTGATCTGAATCTTTCTGATCTGAATCTTTCTGATCTGATCTGATCTGATCTGAATAAAATAAGATTAAGGATTAAGTAATAAGAGTAAGACGAACGGAACAGCTTCTGAGTGACGAATCTTGCAACTTCAAAATTATTTTAAATTTGCTGGTCTGGTCTGTGTAAGTCTGGTCTGGTCTGGTTTGGTCTGAACTAGTCTTGTCTGGTCTGGTAAACATCTGGTCTCTGTGTATTTTATAACTATCCAAGTCTGGTCTAGTCTGGTCTGTTTAAGTCTGGTCTGGTCTGGTCTGGTCTGGTCTGTTTAAGTCTGGTCTGGTCTGATATGGTTTGGTCTGGTCTGGGACTGAAAACAGTCTAAAAGAAAACATCCTAAGACGTTACATAAAATAATAACTTCACTCGAGAATTAAAGAAGTATAACATTTTCCACAAAAAAAACTAGAGAATAGGATTACAAGTAAAAATCTTATATTAGAGTACATTATACTAATTATTGATACAATTACACATATAATTTTGTATTTTATTTTCAAAATTTGGAAATCCACAAGAGCACTCTAGAACAAAGAAGATCTGGCACTAATTGAGTCTCATTTCAATCAAAGATGTGTATCATCATTGAAGAGACACTATATATAATGCATTAGAAATATTGACTAGAAGTGATTATACATTTATACATTAACAATGTAGTAATTGTAGAAATAATTACAGTAACCACTTAATTTTATTTTTATCCATACATTTGAATAACCAGATAAATAAAATTGATAATACATAGCATGTAATATAACATCTCCGGCATATTATACTTCATCCATCCCAATTTATCTGTTCAACTTTTCTTTTTGAGTTGTCACAAAATAAGTGTCATGTTTCCCTTTTGAAAAGAAATATGTGGTCCATATCATTCCACTTTATTATACTCAAATTTCAACCGCAACTTTAATTTTACCTTAATTTGCAACCACTTTATTAAAAATTGTGTCAAAATCAAAGGAGACACATAAAATGGGACGGAGGTAGTAGCATTATCGAATGATGACACAACATTTTTATTTATTACTCTTTCCGCCCTTTACAATTTTGACATTTCTCCTTTTTGAGATGTCCAAAACACCTTATAATTTTTTTATTTTAATTAATCAATATGTGGCACCCGTTATTCTTCCTCATTTGCATAGTTCAACCACATAATTTTAAGATGGCTAAAGGATCAAATAGTCCCTTGAACTGACTTAAAGTGTTCAATTAAACAGCGCAGTACATTTCGGAAAATCATTTGATTGCCTTCCCGGTTGAATTTTTAGCTGAAATTTGGTATGGGTAAACTAGACTTAATGAAGAAGATTCTCAAAAAATTTCATCAAAAAATTGTACCGGGAACCGTCCCAATTAGCGACGGCCGAGCAGAACCTCCTATATAAGGGGTTAATTGAACACTTTAAGTAAGTTCAAGGGCCTATTTGACAGCCATATAAGATTTGATAAGATATTTTCATTTTTTTAATTTTTTTAATACCCCATACAAATAAAGCGCGTAGTATTTATATGCATTCGCATTCCTCTTCATCTCTGATCTGCTAGCTCATCACACTAAAACTAAGCTGTTAATAAATAATAAAGGCCATATAATGCTGCCATCTTTCTCATCTTCACTACCCTTTCCGCCCTTCAACCACAGAAAAAGTAGAGAAACCAGTGTGAACAAATCAACAGCAGCATGTGCTACGCTCTCTTCGTTTCTTCAACATGAATCATCATCTTCATCATTATCATCATGTTCCAATCAGAAAACGCCATCTGTACATACCCAAAAACCATCCTCATCGTCATCCTCATCGTCATCGACCAGCAGGTATAAGTTAAAGGGTATCGGCAGCCGTCAAGTGGTAGTGGAAGAAACCGATGAAAAGGTAGCGGCTACGCCGCCGCCGGCTGCGGTGACAGCCACTGCTCCTAGTCCCGGCCATGCTTTTATCTCTGATCTTCTTGATAAGTATGAGGTCCACAGAATATCTCTATTGCTTGACCACTACATAGAGACTAGCTGCGACGACCGCCGCCGCCCCGGCAACGGGAAGAGCGGAAGGAGTAATGTGAAGAAGAAGCCGCCGCTTCCGCCTGTGGGGTTGTGGCTGATGAGGCAAACATCGCTGTGTGGGTCCCGCACGACTGATGTGGTGGAAGAATCTACTGCACGTATTGAAATTGGCGGCTGTTCATCATCCCGATGGCTACTGAGGCGGTAGATACATACGGAGTGTGTACGTATAATTGTATATGGCGTAGAATCCCGTAGATTATGGAAAATTCTAGAGAAATGGTCCCCGGAGTCCGGACTAAAAATAATTTTATGTACTCCATACGTCTCTAAATAAAATTTAAACTTTCTTTTTTCGTCCGTCCCAATTAAAACTTTCACTTTCCCTTTTTGACAAAGAATTTGTGGTTCACAACCATTCTTACACATTTATCTCGCATCTGCACAACTCTCCACCACACAATACATGTTATTTTAAACTGTGTGTCAAACCTATTTGGAAGATAAATTAGTGACGGAGGGAGTATCTAAATAAGAGTTGAATGTTTTTAATACCTAAATACATTCAGGATGTTTTCTTTTGGACTGTTTTTGGTCCCAGATTAGACCAGACCAGATCAGACTAGATTTTGTTGGAAATATGATGAAATAAATAATGGTATAATATATGAATTGGGAGTGGCATAATATACATTAAAGAACAACTTACATGTTTGGATCTATTTCATTTAATAACTAGAATCCATAGTTGTAAATGTTGTAAATGTAATGTATTACTTTGGTGAATTTATTGTCCAATTTTTAAAGTAAATGGCATCTTTATTATTATATGATAAGGAACATGTTTAAGTATCATATAAGGTGACTTGAAATATTATTGTACATGAGCTCATTCACATTCTCGGACTAAAGAGGATAATGGGCTGGTACACATATATTTTAAATCAAAAAGCCATTTAATTTTGGGACAAAAATTCTGAAATTTATTTAATAAATTGAAGCCTGCATAAAAGTTTAATTGCACAAATAATATTGCTTAGCAAGACTTGACATGTACGTGCACTTGAATTCAAAATTTAAAAGTGCTTTACTTGGTCATAGTCAGTTAGTAATGATCCGGTCATAATGGATCATGGGGTGACAGTATTATAGGAGCACTTAAAAATTTTTACCAATTATTTTGATATATTAATACTTCTCTGATTTCCAAGGAAAAATAGTCCGCTGCATGCTCTCATTCTTCTTACGATCAGAAGCTTTTGAACTCTCTTGTTTTTCTATTCGATTGAGACACCCACGAACAATCAGTTCCTTCCAATTAGGTCTTTCTTAATTTAGCCTTTTCAATTCCAAAGATTTTGAGTTCTTATTCGAGAGAAAAATAAAAGTTCCATAGTTCATACTTCATTTCCTTTTCCGGCTCATTTCTTTTAATCGGCAATTGGGCAACGGTCGAAGTGTTTCTGTCAAGCAAGCTAAAGGACTGGAACAGAGGTAGGATTATCCTGGGAGCGAGTTGGCCAGTCCCGTTCGAGTAGCTATCGAGATACGGGGACTATCTTTCTTCAAGGCCAGTCCGGTTAACGGACGATCTTACGCTAAGTTTTCTTTCTCTACCTTTTATATTAATATTTCATTTCTAATTATTGTTGTTATTTTATTTGTTCTTGCATTTGGTGGTTTGTCTGGTGATTTGTGATTAAACTCGGGATTTTATCGGTCTAAACTCGCCATTTAAATACTATTTTTCTATCAGACTTCCGTAGTTATAAAATACACAGAGACCAGACGTTTACCAGACCAGACTAGACCAGCAAATTTCAGTCCAAACGAAAACATTTTTATATGTTTACTCCCTATTTTGCTCTTATAGATAATACTGTAATACTCTATTTAATCTCTTTCCTTCGATTTCTTGTTTCTCGATTGCTTCCGCCATTCGTCTCTCGTCCTTTCCCCAAAATCAAGGAATATGATTCTTCTTTCCTCTATGCGCAGTGGCGAATTTGGGAAGGGCGGTAGCGGCGGAGTTACAAGAGCAACGGCGACACTGCCGACACAGTTGGAAGGGAGACGGCGGCAGATCTAGAATTTTCATCTCTAGAATTTTCTTTTTCTTCTTTTCTGGTGTATCTGCCGTCGACTTAGGTTTCTTTTTCATATTTGTTGTGATTTCATTTTTCATGCTCCTTTTGTCCTGCTTTTGATGCGCAGCCGATTGTTTTTTTTTGTTGATCGTTTTTTCTCCACTCTGGTTTTACTTTTTGTTAGGTGTGTAGAGCCTGCTCTAGAAAAAATTAGAAGGGCGAAGAGGTGTAGTATCATGTATCGATAGTAATTTAAGAAGACTTTGTGGTTGTCTGCTTCAGCTTCTTACTCTTTCACAGCAGTAATAATTTATTTTAGGTTCTTTTCGTTTGGGTGGTTCTTGCCACCGCTAATGTGCAAGCCTAGGTGCCTCATCACTTGTGTTGTGGAAGAATTGAACACATTTTTGGGCTGGTTTTCGGAACTACCAATCCAATGTAGCAAACAAATACGGAATATAATGATTTTACTAATAAGAGCACATTTTCATACTATTGTTGATCATGTTTATTTTAAAAGGACAATATCAATTTTATAGCATTTGACATTATTTTTAACAATGCCATTTTTATAAAATTGAACAATGTCACGACACTCATTGACATTAGCAGTGACATTGTCATTATTACAATATCATTCTAATAGCATTAACATTGTCACAAAGACAGTCATTGTGACTTATCATGACATATTATTACAATGTCATTTTTTATAGTATTAACGTTAACATTGTTATTGTCATTATTTCACATCGTGACATTTGTACCTACATTTTGATAGTGTTTACAATTTTTTTTGTAATTATTCTTTATAGTATTAACAATGTAACAATAATGTTACAGTATCACAATGTCATTAACAAAATTAATGTCACAAAATCACACGACATTGTCACAATATTACAATGTTATCAAAGAAAATAATGTCACTTTTTGACAATGTGAAACTGTTGATTTCAAAGTATTACATGATAATGTCAAAATATAATTACACAATTTCACAATGTTAACAACGAAAACAATGTCACTATGTCAATGACATTGTAACAATTTTTTTTCCCACCAAAGGCGTCTTTTTTTTATTTGATTAAAAAAATTGGATTACAAAGAGAGGGGGACTATACCAAAACCTCCCAAAAAGGCAAATAGACAACACAACAAAAAGTAAAACAATAAAATCGGGGGACCAATCCAGACCCGAAACCGAATCTAATATCTAAAAGAAGGAATTCCAAAAAAGTTCATCCAATAGGCCCGCTTGGCAAAGATAGGGAGGTTTGTTGGGTGTCCAATAACTTCGACATGCTGAAATTGGGCCGCAGCTAAATGATGGGCGACCCAATTAGTTTCCCGGACCGAGTGAATGAATCTCACCTGTTTACTGATTGCAATCTGCATTGTTTCGTGAATTTCTCTTCTCCATCTTCTCGACTTTCTTCCCGCAAGGTACTCCAAGGCCATAGAGCAGTCCGATTCAACTATCCACCTAGTGACATTGTAACAATATCACAATGTCATTATATTATACTATCCTCCGTTTCTTTTTAATCGCAACATGTCGAATTTTTACACTATTCACAGGCTCTACTTTGACTAAATTTTACGCTATTATTTTATGAAAATTATTTTCTTAAGAAGATATTGTTCAATTCATCTCATTACAAAGTTTCAAAATTCAATTTTTAAATTTTTTTTACTAATAGAGATTAAGATATAATTACGGTCAAAGTCGTGCGTTGGCAAATGTGAAATGTTGACCGTTACAACTAAAAAAGAACGAAGGGAGTATTATATTACATTGTCATTCAATGACTGATTTTAAAACAATGTCATTATATTACATTGTCATATAATATAGAAAAAATTCCACTTTTGGTCCCATGACTATTATACCACTTCCACATTTCGTCCCTCACTATCAATTTCTCCACATTCAGTCCGCGACCATCTTCCCCTCACCACCCGTGGTCCTTCCGGTCAAAACTCCGACTGAAATTAATTAAACCACTTAAAGGGGAGGGTAGTTGAGTCATTTAATATCATTTAAAGTCCTGGTACCTAACTCCCTCCCTCTTCGTCGCCTTTAACATAACAACGAACCCAGGTCTGCAAAATTGAAATCTAATCCTCAATTCTTTGAAGCATGTCTACTGCTAAATCAGGAAGCTCGAATTCCGGAGGTCAATACGAATATGGCGAGTGGATTCCAGTGACCTATTGCGAATGTGGCCAACAATTAAAGCTTTTGACAACATGGAAAGCAGAGAACAGTGGGAGAAGATTTTGGAAATGCATTGGAAGTCAGGTTAGCACTGGTCGAGTTCAATTGTAGTATTTGTATATGTTTTTCCCCTTTAATATTGAATACATGGTTGATAACGGGATGCTTACATTGTGTTGGTGCAGCCATATAAAGGGTGTGGTATGATGGAGTGGTTTGACCCTCCAATGTGCAAGAGATCTCAAAAAATAATTCTGGGGCTGTTAAAAAAGATGAATGCGTATGAGGAAAAAATTCGTACATTGGAGATGAAGCTTGAAACATTAGAGGTTGAAGGGTTTAAACCAGAGAAGAAGAGGAAGAAATGTACTAAATGTAGTAGGGCATTGGTTTGCATTGTTGCAGTTGTTGTTGTATTTGTGTCCATGTATATCAAAGCCACATAATGTGGTTGTAGTGTTTAGGTTCTGTAATTGTTGCTTTGTTTTATATTCACCCATTAGGTGTGATGCTGTTGTACTACCTGAATATTATGAGTATGATATCAAATTATTTCATTAATGTATTTCATTTTGGTGTTAAGTATGAGCAAAATACATGACAACTTTGTGTTTGGATTCAGAATAATGACATCTTTCTGAGATTATTCTGTATAGACACACTAGTATGAGCAAAAGACACTGCATATACACAATAGTATGAGCAAAAGACATGATATTTTTCTGACATTTTTCATTAGTCACATATACACACCATAGACTTCTTAATGTATATGACCTCAAGATATATACCATCTTACTAAAAAGACATATACACCACACCATACACAACCATTTAGACCTCACATATACCATCTATCACATATACACGGAATACATATCCATGTCATTTAAAAAGCTTGTTACAAAAACAGGTGTCCATTAATATGTCAATTTCAATCTGACAATACCATTACAATACCATGTCCAGTAATAGGACCATTACACTACCATGTGCAGTACTAGCACCATTACAATAGGTTGTCCATTACAAAGAGCAAAAGATACTACCAAATACATGCATGAATTACATTAAGCACTAGTCTAAGTCAATTGGGGCATCATCATTCCCAAAGAAAACAGATTTGAATGTTGATTTTGATCGAGTGCCATAACATGGTCCTTTTTTAACTTGCAGTTTCTTCAGTTTGGGTTTAGCAGAACGGGGTGGTCCATAGCTTATCCTTATCCCATGACTAGTTCTGTATTCAACATCAGCACGCACCTCTTCACTCTTTTCCTTACTTTCATCTACATTATGTTCAACACTTACTTCTTCATTTGCTTCTGCACTTGGTTCTTCACCTACATCTTCACTTGCTTCTGCAGTTGGTCCTTCACATCCTAGCTCATCTTCTTGCCTATCTCCTATGACATCAGTGATCACTTGGGTGTCTTGTGTGAACATACCATCCTCCTCTACACAAACTACAATTGGGACCTCAATTCCAAATGATGACTCCTCTGCACTTTGCATGTTAACTTCTATTAGATTTGCCTCATCAAATGTTTGCACACCATTGTCATTGTCATCCCCAGCACCATCATCAATATCATCAGTACCAGTCTGCCTTTTCTTCTTTTTTGAACTTCTTTTTCTAGGCTGCACCTGTGTACAAAATAGATGAAACAAATAATGAACTTTGAACCAACATAAGAAACAAGAGCACACCAATGACTATAATCAACACTACTGACAAACTATAACACTGAAAAATGAATGAAAAACCAACACTAAGCCAGAATTGAAGAAGAAACAATATATAGTAGGAGTATACCAATTTGTTCTTGTTGTTTGGATCATCTGGGCATCTCCTAGCATTATGCCCTTGCTTCTTGCACTTAGTACAGTGCAACTTGATATGTGTCCTTTCCACTTTGACCCCATCAGTGCTTAGATCCACTGCAGATTTCCTCCTCAACTTGGTAGGTCTTCCAGGTCTAGCAGTATACAAAGGTGGTAGAGGAGGCACTCTGTCAGTAAGTGGCCACTCTTCTGGCCCAGCCATTGGCCTAATGGATCCCCCATATATTTTTAGATATGTGTCCTTTGTATAACAAGGGTGCACATATGCATCTACTGGACCCCTTCCAAATTTAAGCCAAATTGCACAAACTGCATGCTTACAAGGGATCCCAGTTAAGTCCCAAATCCTACATGTGCACTGTCTTTTCTCCAAATCAACCCCATGTTGAGTACCAGACATACCTGTGATCTCAAATTCATTATCACCGCATTGAATTCCAATTAAACCTGCTGCCAATTTCTCAATACCCTCTAATTTTTTAGCAATCCTAGGGCAAATGTTTGTAGTCCACTTTTTGGCTTTTTCCCTACTAGTGAAAAGCTTTGTTAGAAGCAGCTTCCTAATGGTCTCTAGGCACACCAAAATAGCCTGTTGTCTAGCCTCTAAAATAACACCATTAAAGCACTCACATATGTTGTTAGTCAACATATCAGTTTTAGAGAAACATGAGAAGTGTGACTTGGACCATTCAGCTGGATGTTTGTCTGCTAGCCATTCAAAACATTCACCATCTATTTCTTTCATCTTTGTTAGACCAGCTTTGAAGGCATTTACAGTGCATGCCCTTGCACAGTCCCACAAACAATCCTTGATTGCCTTCCCATTAAATCCAGCTGCCTTGATGTTGCCATGCAGATGTCTGACACAGAATCTATGTTCAACTGTTGGGAATAGGTCAATTACTGCTTGAATGAGACCTTTCTGTTTGTCTGACATTATGGTGAAGAGGTGCTCATTGGAAGCATTGATGTCAGCATCTGTCTTAACTTGCTTTAAGAACCAATACCAAGACTCTCTAGTTTCCCCCTCCACAATGGCATAAGCAAGAGGAAAGATGCTATTGTTAGCATCTATGCCTATTGCAACCAGTAGCTGGCCTCCACTATTGGTTTTCAAATGAGTTCCATCCACCCCCAATACAGGTCTACAGTGTTTAAAATCTTCCCTGCATGCCTCCCAACACATATACATCCTAAGAAATCTATGTTGCCCATCAGCTTCCAAATTTTCACTTAACTTGACTGTACAAGTGCTCAGATGATTGGTCCTTCTTATTTCTGCCACATAGGACCATATTTTCTTGAAGTTATCTTCCTCTTCACCTCTCAGTTTTCTTTTTGCCTTGCTCATTGCTCTGTAAGCTTGCCTTGTAGTCAAATGAAATCGTTCATCAGTACAAACTGTGTCTAAACTCCTTGGTTTTCCAGTTTGAGTGACTTTTAATCTCTTGAAACCACCTTTTTGCAACCTTGGTTGAGTTGACCATCTTGTTGTGATACACCCAAGAACAACCATCATGTGTGGAATGGTACTTCAGTATCCTCCAGGAATGAGAATTGGTTACTTTTCTTAGGTTCATCTTCCAAGGACATCCCAAATGCTTGCACTCCACAACCACTCTTTCCTTATCATTCTTAACAAACTTCAGATCTTTACCCATCTTGAAAGCATGATTTTGCACAGCTTCCTTGAATTCTTCCTTGGTAGAAAAGGTCATACCCAGCTTAAAGGTAGGATTTTTCATATCAGTCTTAGCACAAAACCTTGTCCATTTCTCACCATCAGAATCTGAGTTATGTATGGAACCATCATCAGACAAATTGGGGTCAGGGTCTACCATTGGTGCATCCCTTTCAGTCTCTTCTCCTTCACTATTGTTGTGTACCCCTGCATATTCAGCTGTGGGATCAGTGTTGTTAACAAAATCAACATCATCCTTACTGATGAAGTCCTCCAAATCAGAGTCATTATCATCCCCAGAAAATTGTTCTAATTCTTTGTCACTGCACAGAAAGTCACTATCAGCAGAGTCATCAACATCTTCATCTTCATCCTCACCCATTTCTTCAAATTCAACCCACAACTCCACCACCTTACCCCCATTTCCATCATTGACAAAACTCCATACCTCTGCCTCACCTTTTAGTTCAGTAAAGCTTTCATTTGAATAAGAAAACACTTTTCTTACCTTCTGGGTGCAACCAAGCTCTTCAAGTTTCTCTTTCAATGCAATCAACCCAAACTCATCTACATCTAAATCATGGAATAATTGAACTGTACCTCCCAGATATGAAGATCTTTCCATAGCATTCACTCTTCCCCCATAATATAACTTCAGAGTAAATGTTCTTTCAGAGGTGGTTGAATCTGTTTAAAAAAAATCAATATGCTAGGTCAATCAGCTTATGTGGATCCCACAAGCACAAATAACATATTCATATTTACATTTTAAAAAAAAAACATTAAAGCATACAAGCTAGCCCAAACACACATGACACAACCCCTTGCATAAAGAGTAATCAATATGGTCCCATTTCTAAAATGTAAAAACATAAAGGGACAAGGGAATCTCAGTCAAATAAAGTGAATGCCTACCCTACCATGTGAATTTGAAGACATAAAGGGAAAAGGCAGCCTTAGCAATACAAGTGTGACATGTGAACGCAAATAAGATGTAAAGACCGGTTCAACCATTTCACACCAAAATTTATTCTATAAAGTACACACAAGTTCAGCCTCTTACCTTTACCAGAAACATTTGAGGCGGAATGGTGTTCACTGCTTGTTCCTTCTCCACCATCCCTACCACGGTGCATTCCAATTGTAAACAATCCCGGAGGTCGTGTCCTCATTTCGTAAGTCTTTAGGGCTTCGGTTCTTCAGGTTGGAGGGAGAAAGATTCAGATGGCTTCTTCACTTCAACGCATCTATTCAGAGGAGTATTGGAGAATCAGTAATTAGGTTACTTTGGAGTCAGATTGAAAATTAGTTTAGCAATTAGCCGTTTTTAGGACCTAAAGTTACTAAACTACCCTTCACACGTGTCATTTATATTCTGGCCGATTAAATTCAGCCGGAGTTTTGACCGGAAGGACCGCGAGTGGTGAGGGGAAGATGGTCGCGGACTGAATGTGGACAAATTGATAGTGAGGGACAAAATGTGGAAGTGGTATAATAGTCATGGGACCAAAAGTGGAATTTTTTCTATAATATATGACATTGACTTTTGAACAATGCCATTAATTGTGATATTCCGTATTACATTGTTATATAATGACATTGCCAATGTGTTTTATCAAACTGACATTATTTTTTACACCATTGTTATATAATGCCATTATTTTTTACATTGCCTATTCTCAATGAAAATGTTTTCCAAAATAAATAATGAAATAGTCTTCAGAAAATGATTTCCATTCTGTAAAATAAAATAAAAAATAGAAAACGTTAAAGTAATACATAGGAAATTGATTGTTTTTGAAGTAATAAAATGAATTCCATTAAAAAAACAAAGAACTTGAAAAGTAAAACAACACCAAAAAGTTGCACTAGCCAATAGCTAAATTATAACAGCAGAGGAAGTCAAGATAGTTTTAGTAGCAGAGGAACTCGAGATATTTTTCCTACGGGCAACGATATTACTGTAAATGATATGGTCTATCACACGATCATCATTTTTATTCCAGATAACAGGAATAAAAAAACAAGGACAAATGGTTCTCACAAACTGCAAAACAATTTTGC